CTTCCCCCCATCCGTATTATTTTGAAGCAAATCCAAGATATAGTTTCATCTGTAAATATTTCAGTATGTATCTCTAAAATATAAACATTAAAAAATATAATCACAAAGCCATTCGACAATTTATTATCTAAAAAATTAACTATAATCCCTAAAATTAATCAAATATAGTCAGTGGTCAAATTTCCACTTGTTTCATACATTATATATAAGCATATATATTACATTTATCTCTCATATATATCTGTGGCGGCATTAGCCATTGCTGCTCAGTGCCTATATGCGTTAACTTATTAGGGGTTGCAAAAATGGCGACATCCTATTTATTATTTATTAGCTGGAAGGGACTTCCCCTCATCTACTATTTGGTTACTGACTCTTGTAGTTTGATTAGGAAAGGCAGAATGAGCATTTAGTTTTTTATATTTACCAGTTTTTGAAAATAATTAGTTACTTTATCTTGGGCTTTCTTTTATAATTTTCCTAGATATTTGTTAAACATCTTTTATGTGTAGAGAACTGTGCTAAGTGCTCTGGTGGCTACTAAGATGAGGTAGGCACAGTGCCTACTTTAAGGAGTTCCCTGTCTAATCAGGTAAGATAGCCTTGTGCTCAAGTAACACAAAGCAGTAATTGAAAAGTTCTGGGGATAGAAGTCACGCTCGCTGTATGGGAGAGTAAGGACATCTTCATTTGTTACAATGGAACTGGAACAGAGCGGGTATTGGTGTTGCTTTTAAATTTCATCCAAATCGCACATTTAAAGGTAGAGAATCTTTTTTGGATGAGGAGAGAAGTGTGGCTGGGGCTGGGTGTGGCAGAGGTATGTGAGGAGTTGGGAAGTTGGTTTCTGGTAGAGCTATGTTTGATTAGCTGACCCCTCCACCCCTGTTTTACAGACCCTGGTGTACATGTATGGGGATATGCTGAGCAACGTGGGAGCAGCTGAGAAGGTTTTTCAGTACCTGGACCGACAGCCAAATCTGCCTCCACAGGGGACACTGGCCCCTCCCACTCTGCGGGGGCGAGTGGAATTCCACAATGTCTCCTTTGCGTATCCTAATCACCTTGATCGGCTTGTGCTCAAGGTGCCTAAAAGGGACTGTGGGGAGGGAACTGGACCCTCCACTCCCAGCTGGTTTAGTGTGACCAGGCATTATAGTCTGTAGATCATTTGCTTCTGAGATGCTGATTTTACCTCTATAAAGAGAAGGGGTGGGGTCCTGAGAGGGATAGGCGGGCCCCTTACTCTTTCCTGGCTTTTCTAGGAGCTGACTTTCACCCTACATCCCGGTCAGATGACTGCACTGGTGGGACCCAATGGATCTGGGAAGAGCACAGTGGCTGCCCTGCTGCAGAATCTGTACCAGCCCACTGCGGGGCAGCTGCTGCTGGATGGGGAGTCCATCTCCCAATATGAACACTGCTACCTGCACCAACAGGTGCATGGGGAGGAAGAAGAAGGACAGGAGATAGGGAAGAAGCATGTGTAGAGAGAGCGTGGGGGATCCGTGGGAGATCCATGGGAGATCCATGGGAGGTGGGAGAGGAGGCAAGGAGGATCCCTGCCGAGGGAGTGTACCACAGTCCTCTGCTCCCATTCCCTCTGCACAGGTGGCTTTGGTTGGGCAGGAGCCTGTGCTGTTCTCAGGTTCTGTGAAGGACAACATCGCTTACGGGCTGAAGAGCTGCAGTGATGAAAAAGTGATGGCTGCTGCCCAGGCCGCTAAAGCAGATGAGTTCATAAAAGAAATGGAGCATGGATTATATACAGGTACCTTCAGTCAAAAGAGAAACTGGAGCTTATTCTTGGAGTGAGGATTGTGTCCCTGTAACTCCTTGTTTGCTGTTCACATGCCCTTTCCTTGGCTCCCACTTCCCCTACTTCCCCAGCACCACGAGCTCTATGTGGGCAGCCCCAGCAGGTCTCCACCCCACCACTCTCCTTACACAGGGCCCTCAGACCTCCTAACTGGTGCTAGTGGAGATACCAGTTGTGCACCTCCCCCTGCTTGTGACAAGGGTGTTGTCATGGTTACTTGTGTCTAAGGAAGGGTATTTCTCCATTTCCTCAGATGTAGGGGAGAAAGGGAACAAGTTGGCTGTGGGACAGAAACAACGTCTGGCCATTGCCCGGGCCCTTGTGCGGGACCCACGGGTCCTCATTCTGGATGAAGCTACCAGTGCCCTGGACGTCCAGTGTGAGCAGGCCGTGAGTACTGGGGCTGGAGGGGCAGGGGACAGTGGGATCTGACAAGTCATGTTTGAAGGATCAGCCTGTGCAGATTCAGGCAGTGCACGGATGAATGGCCCACTAGTGGGAAGAGTATCTGCCTTTTTAGCAGTGGGGAATGGAAAGGAGAATATGGGGTGTGCGGACAGTCCCACCGGGGGATTCCACAATGGCTGCTTTTCCTGTCTGCTAGCTGCAATGGTACAGCTGAAAGAGAAGGGCAGTGTAGCCCTTCTCCTTCCTACTTTCCTACTTTCTCGTGTTTCACATCTTCTTTGCCCTAAACCACAAGAGATAGTGTCCAGTTGGGTTGTCCATCCCATCCTTATCTTCCTGAGGCATTACGATCCTCCCTCTTCAGCTGAAGGACTGGCAGTCCCGCGGGGACCGGACGGTGCTGGTGATCGCTCACAGGCTGCAGACGATTCAGAATGCTGACCAGATCCTGGTACTCAGTCACGGAGAGCTGCTGAAGCACTCCCAGCTCATGGAGGGGCAGGACCTCTATTCCCGCCTGGTGCAGCAGCAACTGGAGGACTGAGGCCCCAGGGACACTGGGCCCTTCTCATGGCATCTTCATGACCCGGGCAGTTCCTGCTTTGAGTTTCCCTGGGGCTGTGCCTCTGTGTAGTTAGTTGTTCCTGGAGCTGGAAGTATGATGGAGGTTAGGACCACATGTGCTTTCGTTGGGGCGGGGGAGGCAGGGCAAGGTGCTACCTATGTCCAAGAACCTTATATTCCTGATGAACAGAGCTTTGCCTCATGCTGAGTAGTGTATTGTGGCATAATAAATATATTTTAAAATATTTTCCTCATTATATAAATAGCACATGACACGTTCATATAAAAAAGTAAATCTGACCTTCGTTTCACTTCCCAGAGACAACCATGGTTACTGTTTTGCTGGTTATCCTATTAGCCTATTATCTGTTCTTTGAGATACGTATTAATCAATGTGACATAAATATTCATGAGGCTGCCTTTCTGTATCCTTCCCCATTCCCACCAGTGTTTGATATTTTGGGGAAACTAGGGTATGGAGGGGCAGAACACAGTTCCATAATTAACAGTGTTAATAAGAAATTGCTAATAGCTACTACTGATAATAGAGTTTTAATATTGGTAAGAACTATGCTAAGTGTTTTTCATGTATTATCATTTTTAGTCCTTATTCTCAACTCTCTGACGTTAGTGATTATTATCCCAATTTTATAGATGAGGAGACTTAGTCTCAAAGAGATTAAATAACTTGTCCCAAGGTTACACAGTGGTGGAGTTGGAGTTTGAATCCAGGCGTGACCCCAGAGTCCATACTCCCAACCAATAAATTCTATTGCATTTTATGTTCATAATCTCTAATTTATAATAAGATCAAGTTAAGCTTTTACTTCTTGCTCCGAATAACTTTGACTCCATTATCTTCTCTCTAGTCCCATGGTTATAACTTCCATTCGTAGTCTTAGATTATCTCACCCCCGAAGAGGGTTCCCTGTTGTTGGTTCACCTCTTCCAACCATTCTTCATGAAGTCATTTTCTTTATAGAAGGCTCAGAGGACGATGCCGCTTCTGTTAAATCCTTCAAGTGCTCTTCATCTCTTTCTGTTCAGATCTTTCTCAGAGGACACAAGGTTTTCCAGCCCATTTGTCTGGCCCCCTTTCCTATTGCTCCAGGCACAACACACTTCCTTCCCCTGATTTACTCCGAATTCTTCAAGACATAACTCAGGGTTTAGGTCTTCCAAGAAGCCTTCCCATATCTCCTCATTCTGGAGGAAGCGCCCTTTACATGTGTGCTATCAGTCCCGGGGCGCGCCTCTTTCACAGCCTTTATTAAACTTTTAACACTCTCCCCCAACCTTTTGTCCTTCCACTAGACCATGAGCTCCTGGGGAGGGGGAGGCCATATATCATAATAAACTTTATATCTATTACTTGGCACAGGGTTCGATTCATAGTAGACAATAATAAATGTCTGCTAGATAAATGAATAAATCTCCTTCCTCCACTGTCCTCATTCTCAATCTTTCCTACATGGACCAACTACTGAAAAATTCAAAACTGTATATAGTACTGGTTACTGGGAGGGACTTAACCTTTGAAGGTTCCTATTGTAGGAAACAGAAGCTTTCACCTTCCCAGAAGCAGCAGGTACTTTCCAGCACTAGCAATGAACCAGCCAGAACTTGTACGTGTTTTTTTTTTTTTTTTTTTTTTTTCTGCTTGGCAACTGTTGGAAGCAGTGTGGGGTGAGACTAGGGAGTTCCTTATGCAGATAAGCCTTTTGCTTCGTCCTAGCCTCTGCTGCTTCGCGTCTATTTATCTCTCAAATGTTACTAGAGTGAAACATGCATTTGGAGAGGGAGAAGTTGGCTTGATTTCTTCCCCTTCCCACCAAATGTCTTTCCTCTATAAAATGAGAATAATACTTCTTATGTCTCTCAACATTATAGAAAGTGTAGCCCTCATGGAAGAAGATGATCTGTTACAATTCTTTGATATCCTCAGTACAATTACACCCATATACTCATAGTACTTTAAACCTGGAAGGCATCATAAAAATAATGGAGCAGTCAAATCTTACTTTACAGAAAAGGAAACTGGCCTGAAATCACGCAGCTAATCAGCGGTAGATCTGGGAGGAGAACTCAGGCATCCAGAGGGTCAGGCAGTACAGGAAGAAGCAGCAGAACTTAAGATGTACGAAAATTTGTTATCTCAGGGGGAAATGCCCAGGTAAACCTTATGTCAGAGACACAGAAAATGTTCCCTGACAGTCAAAGTAGTCAGCCTGGACAGACAAACCCCTGCAAGCGTGGTGTGTCTGGTAACCTCAGATACCAGTAGTTCTGATTTGTTCCAGAGTTCTGGTTCTTTTCATTCACCTCTCCTAACCTCCAACACCATTTGATTTCCCCTTCTTTTTTGTCACTTACTTTCAGTATCTTTCCCACTCATTCATGCTTTACTTTCCAAAGGAATGTACGAATGGAAAGCAGGTGCTTAAGGACACTCTCAGATTTCTTTGAGCCCAGAATAACCTCCACCCCATCTGCCCTGCCCAGTATTGAATTGCAAGTCCTTTGTGCCCCAGCAGAGTGAGGCAGCCACTGCATGGCTGTCATGAATCAAGAGGAGGAAGAGTGGAATTGTCAGAATTTGGGAGGAAAGGACAGGGAATAAGGAAAACAAAGATCTCTCTTTTGGGTGCTCAGTGAGTGAAAGGAGCATCCATTTATTTGAGTCTGATGCCATCTAGTGGTTCCTGGAAATACTGGGTTTCCAACCTAGAGTTTATGAACTCATGAATTATAATTCAACAATTCAATAATCATTCAGTAACCTTTCTTGTGTGCTGCAGTTGTGCTAGGTGACTAATATACATCTTCTTACTTTATCTTCAAGTAATACCTATGTGGCAGGTATTACTACCCAAATTCTAGGAGTGAGAAAATGGAGATTAAGAAACGTTTACTAACTTGCCTGGGTCACACAGCTTGGAAAAGGCGAACTCTGCTCAACTTTACAACAAAAATCTTCAAAAGAGCTGCCTGTATTTCCTGTGTCCACTTACCTTCTTACTATTCTCTTCTTTAAAGATAAATTTATCTGAGTGGGCAATATATTAATGTGGTTTAAATTCAAAAGGCACAAAAAAATATACAGACAAAAGCCTCACTCCCATCCTTCCCCACAGTTTGCCAATACCCTTCAATAGGCAATACATGCTCTGAGCTTTATGTTTATCCTTCCAGAGAAATTTAATGTATGTATAAGCATATATGTGTATATATTTTTGCTACTTATTTTTACAAATAGCAGTTCCTTAAACTTGTTCTAAACTTTACTTTTTAAATTTTAGAAATATATAGCCATATAGTATTCTGTTTTATAGAAGTACCATATTTCATTTAGCCTGTCTCCTCTTATTGATGGGCTGTTGGATTATTGGAAGTTTTTCACTATTATAAGCAATATCATAGCCATTATAATGTACATATGCAAGAAATTTACTAGGATAGAATCCTAAAGGCGTAGTTGCTGAGAACAATTTGAGAACAAGACAGAAAACTCACAACATGAAAATGAGACAGGTAAATAAAAGCATTCTAAAGTCTTTGTCTTATTTGGAATGAAGGTAGAGATATTGATTAACTTCAGTTGGTAATCAATTGTTGCTAAGTTGCCATGTTAAAAATGTAGGGGTAACTCTTAACTAATAAAATTTAAAACTCCTAAGACAGTAGGGGGAAATTAAAAATTACTTAAATAATTTAATTAATTTAATATAAATCATGAAAGGAGAAATAAAAGAAAGAACATAAAATAGAAAGCACAATATATGATAATAGAAACTAATCCAGAAAACTTGGTAATCACAATAAATGTAAACAGCTTATTTAAATTCGAGGGGTAAAAGAAAGACGTTCTCGGAATGGATTAATAATATCATAAAATTTGGTTATATACCCTTTACACGAGTCACAAAAAAATCCCTAAAGAAAATGTTAAATCCCATGAAAAAAATCCCATGCAAAGATTAAAATTGAAACGTGCAGTACAATACACAAAGCTAACAATAACAAAAGACAGCTTGTGTGGTCATATTGATATTTAAGAATTTAGTCTAAGACCAAAGGCAATTGTAGAGACAAAGATGATCATTGCATGCTAACAAGAAGTCATCAGACAGAATTACAAGAAGAAATTGATAAATAGAAACACATTTTTCAATAATTATAGACTAAGTAAAAAAATGAATAAGCTTGCTGATGGCCTTGTTTGTAATATCTGAGAGTCAAAAGATATTCCTTAAAACTGATAAATCAAGTAGTTGTATTAAAATGTATTAGGAGTACAAAGTTAAGCACAAAGAAAGTGGAAGATGAGGGGAGAGGATATAAGCTAGTTTTATAATGCTCATGGTAGAAAACAATAAGAAACTACCAAAAGAAAGAGGGAACTAATTGTATTATGTGAAATAAATTATCAAGATAGTCATATATCTGAAAAGTGCAATTTAGAAAAATACAAAAAAGACATAGCAAAAGATTTTTTTAAAAGAAATACTCATGTAAAAAGCATATTTAACAGAAAATCATCTCTAATTTGTACATCCTATTTGCTATATTTATGATAATTGTAAATGGCTTAATTCATTTATAAAATAAAAATATTTTGATTTGATTAAAAGAAACACTTTGCTGTTTGCAATATATAAGACACACCTAAAATAAACTGACTCAGAAAGGTTCATTCACTTATTCAACAAATAAAATGATGAGCAAAGGCATCATAAGAGAATGCAAAAAAAAAGAAAGTAGGGGTCACAATTTTATTATTACACAAGGTGAAATTCAGACCAAAAAATATTGAGTGAGACAAAGAAGGCCCTTTATAATGTAAACTGTAAAATTCATAATGAATATGTAAGATACATAAATTCTAAATAGCATATAAGTAACTCTCATACAGCAGAAATTAAGGTAGATACAAGGAAAATATTAAGATATGTACTAATAGGTGACTTTAATTCACTTTTCTCAGGACTAGACAGATGAAATAGATAAAAAATAAGTATGAATACGGAAGATATTACTAACAATATAAAAATTAGATCTGATGGATATATATTGAACTTTCTTCATTGAAAATACAGAATATGACTTGTCAAGTTCCAACAAAACATGAATAAAAATAGACCATATATTATGGCACCAAAAACCTCAATAAATTCCCCAAAGTAAGAATGATATAGGTACTGGTCTCTGACCATAATGGAACAAGCTAGATAATAATAAGAAAATCAGAAACGATTTTCCACAAAACAATTTCTTCCACAAAGAAAATCAAAAAAGATAAAAGCTCTTTCACATAGAAACTTAAAGAAATGGTCTCTCTTTTGGGCCAGAGAGAAAAAAAATTTGAAAAATTTCTAGAAAAACGATAATTAAAAATCACATTTCAAAACTTTTGGGATATACCTAACGCAATGCTCAGAGGAGAATTCATGGCCTTAATAATGTCAGTGAAAGGAAAGAACACCACCAGTGAATTAAGTGAAAGAAACAACAAAATCAGTCACATGAAAGCAAGAGCAGATAATAAAGACAAAAGCAGAAATCGAAGAGTTAGAAAACTGAAAAACAGTAAGATGCATAAATTTGAAAGCTTTAAATTTTTTCCAGTAAGATAAATCTCATCAACAAAAAAGTAGAGAAGTTGCTAGTAAAGAAAAGAAATAACAAGGACAAAATTAATACAGGAACAGAGGAAACATCAGAAAAGACTACTTTGTTCAATTTTATGAAAATGAAATTAAAAACTTGGATTAAATGAATAATT